GGAAACATCTTAACACGCCACAGGTTTTATCCACCAGGTTACAGGTGAGCCTATTTCTAGTTTATTGTTGTTCAGTTTTCATTCTGACTCTTTTAAGATGAATTCTGTTGAAATATTTAACAGCTCATATTTCCTCCAGTAATTTCTGATTCATTCTTTAGAAACACCTTGAAGCCTTTCAACTTTCTGTCTTCCTGAAAACACAAGTATAAACAATGCTCAGAAAAACCTACACATAATAAGCAAGCCATTTTAACATAAACTGGGTTTTGCAGTCCTTACATCCCAGATATCTCCAATTGTTTTTTAACTAGATGTTTTAGTGATTTAAGATATCTCTAATTACATTCTAACTTATATGTAGTTTTGACTAGTGAAAACTATATAAATATAAATAATAGATATCTTTAAAGCAAATATTGACAAGACAAAACTAAATTAAAGATATATTCAAGTATAATTTTGACTACTCAAAATGTTCTTTAAGATATCTCTAAATGAATTAGAGATATATTGAATTACTCAACTTTTCTGTTTAAGATATTTTAAATTCTGACTATTCAGAATAACATTACTGATATCTTGAATAAGTATTTGTGTATATTCAAAACATCCCTGATCTACGTGGCAATTTGAAAGGAGGAACAAAAATGCTGTTTCCTCCATTTTGAAGCAACCAGGTGTTGACGCAGGAAAAGGATTAAAACTAACCGAGTAAATTTATTATATTTTATGTTGGTTCATTGTCTAATTTAGACTGTAGAATAAAACATTTTAGTGAAGTAGCCTAGATGTAAAACACAATAATTAAATCCTAAATCTATCTGCTTTATATCTCTATCATAACTTTAAAACTCTGTAAGTTGTTTTCCTGTTTGATCCGCTCTGCTAGATGAATGTTTTATGTTTCTACTGTCAATATTAAACGCTTTGGTTTAACAACAGATGAAAGAAATAAATAAGTCATTTCGTGTTTATTATGAAAAATATTATGGCAGCTATTTCATTTATTGTCTTTACTTTTAACAATAAGGTGAAATAAGGTGAAAATGTAAAGATACATATTTCTGCTTTCAACCTTTTTTAAAGCAGGAAGTTTTAAAACAGAAACTGCTTTAGAAAAGCTGCTTTGATATATGAAATATGAAATGTGTTTCATATTTCACAGTCAGAAAATGTTTCATTTGTTGTCAGGTTTAACATCTATTAAACAAACACAGGAAAGACAAGAGAGTTAGATTCTTTCTGACTCGTGAGGAGAACAGACAGAGATGTGCTTTAGTTACAATCTCCTACCGTCTGAAACACGTTTGCCTGCTCCTCTCTTTTTATTGTTTTCAGGATCCCTAATCACAAAGACGCTGTAACTCTAAAGGGAGGGAAAACACTCATTACACAGCTACAGCATCAATGACAATCACTAACTAAAACTCAAGGTATCTAACACAAGATAGTCTCGTTCCAGACACAGAGTTAAACAGAACAAGTTGTACATCTTCACGGTCAGTTTTATAACAATCTAGCCGGTCAAAGAGGCCTTGCTTCCCGCTGAGAGATAAACCTGCAGAAACCTGTTGTCTCTGCTTTCCTTCAGTGAGGCCTTCTGAGAACAGAATCAGAATAATTCAACAATACAGAAACATTCTTAATGCTAAGATGAAATTAAACAATTAAAGGATATAAGAAAAGATACATTATAAAGATACATAAGAATAACAAATATTTGATTAATAATAATACAATTTGCCTAACATTTGTTTATCCAGATGTAATTTACAACAAAACTATTTCTCAAGATATAAGCGTCCAACACTGAAGAATGACAAAGGTTCAGAAACAGGAACCATCTCGTCTTTGTGGTAGTTGTTCCAACTGGGGGTGGAGTTAAAACCTGACTGACTGACTGACTGCCTGACTTCACCCAAAGCTCAAATTACAATCAGTTTCCTCCCAGCAGTTCTACTACATAGAAACTGAAATCCCAGGCTCCAAAATAATTGAATAGGCTATATCCATTAAACACAGTTATAACTAAATGAATGGGATTAAATGTGTGTTGAGACATTAAATGAATGTTTTCTCAGCAACAACTGTGTATTGTAATACTAAACGATCACTAAGAGTCCTATTTTCTGTTGTCTTGCCGCCCCCTTGTGGTAGTATTAGAGTTAGGTTTTGTTTTGTTTAGTTCAGTCTATCCAGCATTTTTTTTCTGATGTGCAACGTGGCTGAACGACAGCTTGTTCAAATCTTGAATATCTTTCTTTTTACAAAGAAGAAAAAGGAGTAATAAATGTTCAGACGACTCGACATTTGGAGTTTTTAAGTTTTTTCATTTTTGTTCGCTGTCTATCTCGAGCATTACAGCATTTGTGTAAGGACAGGATATCTGGGTTCATATTTTCTATTTATTACATTGTAGAAATAAATAAGAGCACAAAAAAATGTAATTTTGTAAATAGTTTTCATCACTAATTCTAGAAAGTGAAACTAACATACATTATGTAGATTTAGTCAAATATTCTAAGCCCTTAGTTTTTACATTTATTATGGTTTACAGATAATAAACTCAACATCCAGTGTCTCTGGAAATTTTATTATTGTAGAATATATTGTAAAATATTAGAAAATCATGGTGTGACACTAATCAGTGAATTTTCTCTAAACAGATGCAAAGGTTTCCTGAGTCTCTCAGTTTCTCAGTCTGAGATCATTTAGAAGAAGAATAGAAAACATGTTGACTCTGCATAATGAGATGTTTATTTATCTCTCTCTCTATATATAGAAAGAAAAGTTATTCTGTAAGAAGCTGGTTGTTCAGAGCGTTTATCAAAAGTATTAGCGACTGCCAAACCAGGTCGCCGAGCGGCTGAATAGGGGAATCTTTGTTGACGCGCCAGCTGATCAAAAGAGCAATCCAAGTTGCATTTAAGTTTATTTATTTTGTCAATATCCAAAACTTCACAGTGTCCACACAGCATAAAAACGGATCCGTAGAAAAAACAGTGAATAAAGACAAAATGTGCTAAATGGATGCGGTCAGCAAAAAGTAAACCTTCCCCCATCACCCACTCACTAAAATCACCCAGGTGAGCAACAGCTGATCTATAATCACCAACAACATCACGTGATCCTCACTACACCTGTCCACAACATTCCAGCCCCTAATTATTACATCATTACACAGTAATAATTACTCATTCAACACCATTACCTAAGATATACACGACATCAAGACTCACATTGAGACATTACATTCAAATAGTCCATGAAAGTCATTTTCAATAGTCAAAACAGTCTTTTTCCCTTTTTTTTTTTTTTTTTACAAAATAGTCCATCCATAGTCAATCGGTCAGTCATAGGCCAGAGGTTACCAGCACTTAGCCTAAATATAGTCAGTCTGCGATGTACATCTAGTTGTGGTAAAGTCAAGTCAAAAGGTCATGTCAAGAGGTCGGTCGAATGCATTGTCTTCATTGGTCGGAAGTCTCCTGAAGAAGGCATATCTTTGTGATGGGTCTGCATAAGTGGCTGGTTGGAGTCTTAATCCAGACCTGACGTACAAGTCCATTTTTGTCTGGCACAGTTTTTGTGATTCTGCCGATGATCCAGGAACCACGAGGTGCAGAGTCATCCATTATAAGAACCACATCTCCAGCAACAAAGTTGCGTCTAATCTTCATCCACTTTTGGCGCTGTTGAAGTTGAGGCAGATATTCTTTAATCCATCTTTTCCAGAACAGATCAGATATGTATTGGACCTGTCTCCATCGTTTCCTTGCATAAACATCCTCTTTCTGGAATAAACCTGGTGGAAAACTTGGGTTAGACTTGAGTAGGAGAAGATGGTTCGGTGTTAGAGCTTCCAGATCATTTGGATCGGTGGATTCCAATGTAATAGGTCTACTATTGAGGATTGACTCCACTTCACAAAGAACAGTTTGCAGACCTTCCTCGTCCAAATGCTGTATTTGCAAAGTGGAAGTAAGAACCTTTCTGATGGAACGAATCAATCTCTCCCATGCTCCACCATGGTGCGACCCAGTTGGAGGATTGAAGATCCATTTCACTCCCTTCAGCGACAACATATCAGAGATCTTTTCCTGATTCCAATTTTCAATAGCTCGTCTCAGTTCTCGCTCTGCAGCCACAAGGTTGGTACCATTATCGGACCGCAGTTCTTGTACTTGGCCTCTCCTTGCAATGAAACGTCGTAAGGCGTTAATAAAAGAGTCTGTGTCGAGAGATGAAGCAACCTCGATGTGTACTGCTCTTATCGCCAAACATGTGAAGATAACTCCATATTTCTTCACAAGACTTCTTCCACGCTTCACTTCAAATGGACCAAAATAATCTACTCCAACAAAACTAAAGGCGGGTTTCTCAGGGGTCACTCTGCTTTCAGGCAAGTCAGCCATTTGTTGCTGGCCTGCAGCTCCACAAAGCCGTCTGCAGATCACACACCTTGACATGATCTTTCTAATCAATGTACCAGCACCAGGAATCCAATATTTCTGATGAAGCTTTGAGAGCATGAAGTTCCTACCTCCATGACCCACCTCTTTATGAATATATTGGAGAATAAGATAAGCAATGTGAAGATCTTTAGCTACAATGATAGGATGTTTAGAATCTTCAGACATGGCAGCCTTACTGAGACGTCCTCCAACACGCAGCACATCATCCACCAGCACAGGATTTAACTTATATATGTGACTGCTTCGTTTAACATTCTCTCCCTTTTGGAGACAGGAGATCTCTTCAGAATATTTTTCCTTCTGGCAGAACTTGATTATCTGCATCTCAGCATCCTCAATCTCTCCCAATGAAAGAAAGCCAGTATGTAGCTCAACCCTATGATGAGCAGCTTCAGACTGGGTTGTTTCAGATGCAGATGGAAAATATGTCTTTTCTCTTTTGTGATGCAAAAGCAATGTTTTAAATCTCAAAATCCAACCCATCACTCTGACAAGACGAGTCCACGATGAAGCACGACGAATCAAAAAGGTCAGAGGATGATCGTCATCTTGTCTGGGGAACACAC